GGGAAAAGAGAACTCAAGAAGGGTGGGTCACTTGGTTGAACTCCCCAGAGGTGGATTGGTGGGCTCAGGGTGAGACAGAGGCATTGAAGTGTCTTTTATTAACTTCTCCAAGGTGGGAGTGACGAGGGACAGGGGGACTCTGCAGAAGGAGTGACAGAAGAGCCACAAAGGAATGTCTATAGGGCAGTGCTATAGGGGGGCAGCTAAATGCAACAAATCTAGAAGTTCTTCTGTTGAGAGTTTTGAGAATTATGTGTGTGAAAGAACACTTTTATTGGTTTGCAGCTCTGCTAAGCAAATTTTCCAAATGAGATGTTTTGATTATTATTGTTGCGTATTAACTTCAGGGATTTTAGTGTTCTTCTTTTGCAGGCTAGAAAAAGAGAAAAATATATCAATAATATCTGGAAAGATGCTTCTGACTGAATATTTTGCAGTACTATTTTAAAAAATAAATTATAATTATAATATTTATGTGTATCCACCTTTATAGTCAACAGACATATCTTAATACATTAATTACTTGGAGTCCAGATTTGCCTCTTAATGCAGTAATGGAAATTCCAAAATATTAGTTGAAAGTTTATTCCTAATGGTGTCCTAGATGGGGGAACAAAGAAATAAAATGACTCCATTTTAATGTCAGAAGCTAATGTATGCTTTTAATCCAGCTTCACCCAATATTAAAAGCACTTTGTTTTTAATAAACTTGAGGGTGAATGAGAAATAATTTTGCTGCTGTGACTAATATGGAAATGGGTTTCTGTCCCATGAAATGTATTGCCTATGTACAAAGGAAAATGAATTTCCAACTTGGAAACAGCTTTATTGATGTTTTCAAATGAAGTGAGAATGGCACAGTTCCTTAAATTGAATGTGGAGAAACAAAGATGCACTATTAGTTTTATAAGTCATTTCATTGTCAGTAACCTAATAATTACAGTAAATTGTATATGTAACAATAATCCCTGAGTGTTACTCATTACAAGCAGATAGTCAATGATGTGATAAGGCAAAAGTGCAAGGTGATAAGGAAGGTGGTTAATTACAGTAATGGCTGATTTTCCATGAAGCATGGCATTGCAATTTATTTGCTCTGCAGCAATTAGAATGGCAATAACTCTGCAAATGCTGACTGCATCCAATGGTTCTTTCCCTAATGGAAAGCAACTGCTATGCACTAATCCTGAATGTTATACTGGAATATCTGGAATAAAACTTATCTTGAAACCCTCAATGTATATTAATAAATAAAACCCATCCATTATCAAGAAGGCAATAGAATGAAAAGGAATGATGCTACCGAATTCATTAGATGCTCAAAAAATGACTTGGTCTGTACAGCATATCCTGGAGTTTTCCTATATAGTTAGCCTGCCACAGATACTGCTTGAATCTGCACAGATGCAAACTTAAAAGTTGGTTGGATCTCCTTTTATATTTTTATGAACCTTAGGTGTTCTTTTAAATATTTCCCTTGATTTCCATCAGTTATTTAGCACATAGGTGCTCTAGGTATCCATTTCTGCTGTACTACAGAACCACTTGAGGTGAAATGTCCTTTCTGCATTATTTTTGTTGATTGCACTCTGTGATTGTGGTAAATCCCAGTCATCTCCTGCTGCCTGGCAGGATTTGGTTCATTTTTCATCTACAGGGCTTAAATTAGCAGCAAAAGGAGATTCTCTCTAATTCTCCACTGTGGTGAGCCAGTGCTATTGCTGTCCATGCAGATGACTGCAAACCAGGTCACCACTGAATCTGATTGTCTCAAGGCCTTTTAAAATAACCATATAAACATCAAAGATATCACCTGATTTTTTTAGGTGGTGCTCTTGTAGGCAGCAGCACATGTGGGGAACACAGCTCTGAGATGGGGACAGTGGTGTCAGGATCTGTAGCCCAGGTCCCAGGGCTGTGTGATCACATTGCATTGGCCTCAGCAGAGCAGAGCAGACCTTGGAGCTGCGTCCTCCTGGATTTGCATCACTAGGAGTGCAAAGTGCCAAAAAGGAAGGGCTGCCAGAGGTCACAGCACGGGTAACTTCAGCAGTATAGTGCTGTAAAATGCATGTTCATTTAGCTGGCAGTTGTTAGCATTGTAACTGCTCAGTGGAGGAGGTTACAGGTTGATTTTGGGTTATCTTGAATCTGATTTGAGTCTCTGCTCAGTGCCTGGAGTGACATGTCCCACAGTGCAGAGCTGGCCCAGGAGCAGGTTTGGGTACAGGGCTGTACTTAGGAGTGAACAGATGTCAGTGTCTTGGTGACACACAGCAGCCTGTGACACCCTCCTGGTCCCATATCCCAGGCACACTAAATACATGGAATTATGTGTGCTGGGAGTTGTAATTATAGTGCAGGAACAGATCCCTTTCATTGTTCTGTCTCCTGCAAAACCCTTTTAATCACTCACTAAAGCTATTCAGGAAGAACAGGAGCACAGGATTAATACCTGTCAGCTCTCTTGGGCCATTTCTAAAACACCCACAAACTCCCAGCCTAACCCAGGCTTTCTCATTTGATGGTTTAACTAGGTATAATTAAGTTTAGAATTATATATAGAAGCTACTGGCTCCTGTCTGAACTTTGTCTGAAGATTTATCTTGGTAATAAGATTATACTAATAATTGCATTGAGTTTGTCTTAGCTCAAAATGTTTTTGCTAATCAGAACACTCTTTGCCAACTTGGTGAGTTATTTTCTACTTGTGTTAAATGGAAAAACTATGTAAACTGAAAGCACGGAGTAATAGCTGTAAAGAACAATAATTTCAATGACTTGAACAGAGATGGCCAATTACTTAATGACCTCTTAATCTGAAGAGAGATTCTTTTTCTAGGGTTCTGTTTGTGCTCAGATTTAAACAGCTTAAATTTTGTCTTCAAACTCGTAGCAGATGAAGGTGATTATTATGATTAAATGAGAGCAGTATATATAGGAAAGACTATATGTAATAACTCTACAATGGAAAACTGAGATCTGATGTTTCTCTAAACCTGTCTTTGTCTTGGCAATGATCCATTTAATCAAGCAAGTGAAAATGCTGTTTTTGAGGGTTTGGTTTTTTGGGGGCTTTTTTTGCTTGTTTGCTTTTTTTTTTTTTTTTTTTTTTTTTTAAAAAAAAACCCTTCATCGAAATTGAGAACTTTACAGAAGTTTGATTTCAGCAGGGTTGTTTAATGAAGACACCAATCTTTTTCTAACAAGAGTTAAATCAAGGGTAATATTTTCTAATGTTCCCAAGTTACTTGAAGAACTAAATTGAATTTCTGAAACTAACACAGATATTTCATATGTTTCCAAAGAAGTAGATATCTAAGGCACCTGAGTAATTTTTCATTTCAAAAACACCACACACACATTCATTTTTATGTTAAATAGGAAAGTATCAGGAAAATTTTTTTCTCAGATCAGATACTTAACCTAATCTTATATTCATTGCTAGTCACAAAATTTAAATTTTTAAAGAACAAGCATAAAGAAAAATAGCTTCCACTTTTTTCTAAATCTAGGTTGAATTGTTAATTTAAATAAGAATGTGATGAATCTGAAAAGGCTGAATACATCATTGAGATCCTGCTATCACAGACATTATTAAGTCCTTCAGGCTCCTGGGAGATGGGACTCTGTCTTCTCCCTGGTCCAGAGGTTGTGGTGTGCAGGTAAGGATGATATCCTGACCTCCTGATTTTCAGTCAGGCTGTTCTTAGAGTATCTGCACTGCAATGGACCAACCCATGGTGCTTTCAGCTGTTACTGAACATGGTAAAACTTGTGTGACCCTGTAATTCATCACCACTGATGGTTTCTCCCACTCCTGAACAGTTTCACTTATGACAGAGAAGTTTTATCCCCCCTCCTTCAGAGTGTGTGGGTTTCTTCATCCATTAAACTGTGTTTGCCTTGAGAATTCCCTGAAATAACCCCACACAGGAATTTCTCAAGGCAGTCAGGATTTATGTAGCCATGGAAAAATATTCTAGTTACTTATTTCGTTCTCTCTACTTCAGTGCAAAAGTGGAAAGGAGTAATAACAGACCATTATCTTCATGTTCTGTTGGCATGTGACCTTTAGGCAAAGAACAAATAAGTGGAATAAAGAACAATGCTATGTTTGTGCATGCAAACATAGTCAGAGGCACTGTTAGCTATTCTAGGTGAAAATAGATTAACTTTGCTTTTAAGAACTTTCTTGAGAAACTGTTTTAGACATGTTAGATAATGTCAGCTGCTTCCCTTAGCCTGAAATTGTTTTCCTCCTCACGAAAATGATGAAATAATTGTTTCCATTCTAGTAATGATCTGTGTATGATGAAGAATATACATTTTGTGAGAAGGAGGAAAAAAAGGCAAAGAGTGACGTGAAGCAGTGACGGAACTACAGGACTAGGCATGTGTTAAAGTGGAGTCTCTAAAAGTCTTTGGCAAAGGCCACCAGTTGCTTCCTCTCTTAATCATAAAATTATTGCAGGGTTTGTGTTCTGGCTTCACACATGTGAAATCTGTCTTAATTTTGTATTATGTGTTCAAGACATCTCCTTTAGGGGCCAGTTATGCACCAGATTGGTGGAAAATGACACCACTAGATCATCTCCCTGTTGCATGCAGGAGAAATTTTAGTGCAAATCTAACTTTTTCGAGGAAGAGGATGACTCCTGTAACTTTTAGAATCTTTTTCTCAACTGTGAAAAATTCTGTGCTGTGCTTGGGTGCTGATGGCATCCTTCATGTTCCCGAGGATCAAACTTCACCATCCTCGTGCCTGCTGAGATACCACTTGTGGTATTTTGCATTCAGAGGTGGAACAGGGTGGATTAGGATTGGGCACAAAATCAGTGAGTCTCTAAATAATGTATCAGAGGAAGGAGGAGGGGCAGAAAGAAGTATTGATGTAGGTCAGCCGGACATTGAAGTGTGTCTTTAGTAGCATGTTGTGGTATTGAAGTTAGAGGAAAACTAGACATTTTAACAATAAACCAGAAACAAGATAAGATGTCTAGACATCAATAGCATTTACTGCATGAAAGATATATTAAAGAAGTACAGCAGACTAACAAAAAAGGCAATGATGCTCTTAGTTGTGGAGTGATTTTTTTCCCTTTAGCTTGCACAGTTTGTACTCGGTGACCTTCTGTCTCATCTCTGTGTGTGGTAGGAATCTCATCTGAAAAAGAAATTTAGTTTAAACTTGCAGTTTCCATTCGTGAATCAAAGTATTTCTGCAGAATAACTAGCGGTGCCCTTAAAAGAAAAGCTTAAAAATTAGATCACTTATTGGAGAGGAGTTACTAAAATTTAGTTCATGATTCTTATGACTGAGAAATGAAAATTGTAGTGCCACCCACATGTAATGTTACAGTGATTATTGCAATTAAGTGTAATATTGCTAATGCATAATATAATTATAAAATGTTCAAATGTTAATTAATATACCTTTTAGTATAATGCATACCTAGGAATTAATCAGCTCTGCATATGAGAAAGGTGAAGTAGTGCTTGGTAGAGAACCTCTAATTAACACTATAACATTAAGCAATTAACACTATGGTGTTAGACAAACACAACAAGCATTCCATAAAACACAAAAAGGAAATGAGAAAACACAACGTTGTGGGCCAGATTTTCAGTGAGGGCTCCTCTGTGGATGATAAAACCCCTGCAAAGGCTGACAATGTTATTTCTCCTCTGTTCAAACACTCATAAAACACAACTGAATAAGCATTTTCAGAAGGATTTCCTTTCCAAAGGTCTCATTTTTGTTGATTTGGGAAATGGTTCATTGCAAATGATCTTGAATTAGGGTGCCAGTATAGCAAGTAATCATATTTGACCATATTCGTTCATCATGTCCTTGGTTGTAGGATTAAGTTCCTGTGATCCCCATCCTCTGCATTAGTCTGTGTCTACTTCCCACTGTGGATAGAGAAACAGGAGTTTGGAAGTCAATGAAGAGCCACCAAGTGAAAGATTGATAAACCATCTTCACAGCAGAAAATCTTGAGCAGAATTTTTACTCAGGAAGTTAAAAGCACAGTCCAGGTGTGCAGCTGAACATTCTTAGGGCAAGGAGGGCATTGCATTGTAATTAAACTCACTGTTTGTGCATCCCTTAGGGAAACCATCAGCTCTGTGATGATGGTGGTTTTTCTCCCCTTTGCCACAATGTTCTGCAGTCTCTGCCATTCATGTAAAAGGGTCAAACCCTGAGCTGAGCTTGCACAGATCTCAGTGCTCAGATGAAACCATGCCATGCAAATGTTTTGTCAGGCAGAACTTTTGTGTGGGGCCATTGCCACAGCTGCAGCCTTGAGCACTTGCACATGGAGCTTTGCAAGACATCAGGTTTTGTAAATACACAAGAGCAACTAGTGTTGATTTCTTGGTGATAGAGTATGTTATTGTATGGACCAAAGAGCAATGGATTTCCAGGAAGGACTTATGAGCTTCAGACAGCTGCTGGGATAAATAGATAGCAGAGGGCATCAGTCATATTTAAGACAGTTTTAGGTATGTGTTTGTGAAGCAATTAGGATAAAATCACCACTCCCTGTATCCACAGTGCATATTGATTTTTAAAGCTGCATTTATTCAATATATATTAGTCTTGCTCATACATGAAAACCATGCTGTTGCTACCTGAGCTGGCAGCAGCATTTAATTGTAACAGAACTTCATAGAGTCTTCTACTTTTTATTGCTTATGAGCTCATGTAATTAATCTTGTTCTGCTAATACAGGAGTGGAAGGTTTCCTCTGCCTAGACCATTTGATGTCCTTTTAAAAAATATTACGTGGTTAATTCTGTTCCTGTTTCTGTGTTTATATTCGTGTGCTGGGAAGTTTCTTTTCAGCACATCACTGCAAGAACTGAGCCTGAGGTAAAGCTGCTGTTAGTAGTCAGTAGTAGTAGTCAAAGTATTGCTTAGAAAGTTCTAAAAAGTGCCCATTTTGGAGAAGTGGCAGAACTGAAGCTGCAGGAAGGGATTTTTCACTGGCACACTCTGTCATTATCTGAACATTTACACCAAATTGCTCTTCAGCAGGTGCCTGAAACAGAAGAGTTGTTATCAGCCTCAGCTATTTCAGTTTCAAAATGAATAGATGAAAAAATGAGGTTTCCTTATGTCAAAGACAGAAGGTGGACTGCAAAAATTTCCACTAACTGCTAAGTGGATAGGGATACTCTCTCCTCCACCATTTTATTTTTCTTTTATTTACTTCCCTTTATGATCCCCCCCCCCCCCTTTTTTTTTTGGACTGTTTTTGCTGAGAGTTGCCAGGTTTTACTTTCTACTGAGAAGGTGCTGTTCCTGAAGGGGTAAGGTCTGGAGAAGTGATTAAGTTCACTATGATGGTCCAGAACTCCTAATCAAATAAAATTTAAGAGCTTTGTTGATACTTATGTTAAAAAAAAAAAAAAAAAAAAGTATTATATGTCTAAATATTTGCATCAAATGCACTCTCTCACATTCACATAATATTGTCTCCAGTGACAAGAAAAAATAAAAATAATGATTGTATAATTTCTTTGGAGCATCTAACAGTGTCTATTTAATGTAAAAAAATTTCCAGCTGCAAAGGGAATTTATGGTGTCCATGTCTTGCTGGAGATGCAGAATTGTTTTTTTTATGAATGAGCAGGAGCCATCATGGTTTGTCATGAACTGAACATTTACCTACTTTTTAAACAATATGCTGTTTTATACCATGCTTGGGTAGCTTTCAGTAAATTCATGTTTCCCATGGAGTTCTAAAGAAACATGAAATTCTTTTTGCAGGGGTTTTTAAGTTACATAAAAAACAACCAGTTTATTATGACATTTTGTTGTGGTTAAAATGCTAATCTTTCCCCAAATGTTTAGAAATATTTTGAATGTTATGGAAGGAACATGCTCTTTGCATCTCACTTTAGCTTGCTAGCCTGCACTTGGGAAAAAAAAAAGGTAGAAGAAAAATCAAATTCTCACATAATGCTACTAAAATATTTTAAGGATTATGTTAAGAATGGATTAAATACAAGTAGCTTTGGAAATTCAAACTGAGTGTAAGAATGGTAAAATAAGCAGAGGCCTGCAGCTGCTGTAGGAAGGCACAGCGCGTGGGAGAGGTGAGTGCCACTGCTGGGGTGGTCATGGCCCAGCTGGGAGGAGGAGGAGAAGCTCTCCCAGGTCCCTGCCTGCCCTTGGCCTCCCATCCTCATTTGCACAATTCCTTTCTGCAGAATCCTGACCTCGTCCTCAGGGCATCAGAGGTACAAAATCTGTGATCCAGCTGAGCAGGGCTCATCTGTGCCCTTGGTGTCTCATGCTCATCTCTCCCATTTCTTGTAATATTCATCTCAGAAATAGTTTTGACACCACATCATTTTTTTCTTACCTTTTTTATCATTTATTTTACCATTCTTATCATTCTTACAATTTTTTAACTTACCATAATAATTTAATGCTCACAGAGGATGCCTGATTGACAGATCCAGAGAATAAAATTATTCATGAAGCAAGTAGTTATAGTTTAGGCAGGTAGTTATAGTTTAGGCAGGGATCAATATTCTAGTTGCCATACTCTTGAGTTGGAGGACTTCTCTTAGTGGGATATCTGACTGAATGGTACAACTGGAAACCAATTTGATTCTTCATACTTGCCCATAAATGAAAAAAAACCCTCAGATTTGAAGATGCACCAAAGGCAGAATACTAGTCTGTCATTTGCAAGGAGAGCCCTTGGGACAGCCACTGCCCAAGTGTGAGGCCAGTAGCAGCTATTTGTCCTTGGCCTGGAAAAGAGCATCCCAAGAGCTGTTTTACCTCCAAATGTGCTTAAAGACACCTACAGAGAGGTGAAATTGTGGCTTGAATCCTGGAGGCACCAGGGAATCCTGGATGTGCTAAAACCTTCTCTTGGATGCACTTATCTTTTTATTCCACTGACAGCAAGGTGAAGGAGTGCTCCAAAACAGGCTGACCCCTCTCTTCACCTCTGTTGGGGAACTTTTAACACAATTATTCTCTTCCTGGCTGGTCAAATTCTTTTAAGAAACAGATTAAACACAATAGGCTCTCCTGGTAACTGCACCAGAAAAAATTTGTCCTGGGTGGTACATCTCTGTACCAAAGCCAAATTCCTTTATGCTGAAAGAGGCTGAGAGAAGAGTTCATGTTCCTGATCTGCTTCCATTGCTGTCATTTTCACTAGAGATGCTAATAAGAATTTATGATGTTGTAAACTAAAAGGACTTCTGGAAGTGCTGCTCATCAGTGAGAGTGTTTCTGGTGTGTCTGACTGTGGTGGTGTTTCTATTATCATTATTTATTATTTTTATTTGCTATTATTATTATTATTTTAAGCTGTTGGGACTTTTCTGATCTGACATATGCAGGCAGAAGGTCAAACTAACCTCACAGAAAATGAATGCATTGAATTGAAATGTGTCTACATGTGATGCAGTGTAACTCATGCCTTTGTTTTGCTTATGAAATAGTCTGGAGAGTGTAGAAAGACAAACTAAATTAGAAGCTGAGTCAGTTCCCATCACAGAGCCTGAGCTTGGCTTTCCTCAGCACATAAATTTGTGAAAGGGTTTGTTCAGTGGTTGATCAAGAAGCATATTTGTGCTTTACCCACTCAGGGCATGCAGCTTGGCACAGCCATCTGCTCACATCCCCCTCCATTTCAGCATAGCAAATCTTAGGCTAAAATATTGATAAACAATTTCTGCTACTAAATTAAGGCTTAAACAGTAGAGAGAAGGAATGTGAGCTTTAAATTCTCCAGACATTTGTGCTATGTGTGCTGCTGTTACAATTACAGTGATAAGGAACATGAGAGGTCTGATATGTGGTAATTATTTCCAAGTGATTTTAGTTAGGCTAGCAGTAGAGATGATGAAAAGAGATGCCAAAAAACTCACCTGTATCCACAGGCAGCTGAGTTGTGTGGGCTCATGTACTTAGGACACCACAAAGAGCTTCTGAACTTAAAATACAAAACAGGGCAGAGAGAGATGAGAAAAATAAGAGCTGGATAAGACCAGACTATTAATTTAAGTATTGAAAGAGAGGGAGGGGAGAAGGAAACAAGGGTGGGACTCTATCTCCAGAATTTTTTTTTTATCAAATTATATTTGCAGTATGATAAACATCTTTTTCCATAACACTTCTCTGACTCAGCCGATTGATTTGGGAATTTTTGCTACCTCACCCTCTAAATCTAGAAGTTGTCAGGTTCAGCAGCCTTCAGAAACACCTTTTAGAGAGAATGAGATTGTGATAGGACATGTCAGAAAATGAGAGGAGTTTTCTGCAGTTATTTCCTTGTCTATAGAAGGAACTCAGGCGCACTAAAAGTAAATGAAATGATGTTTTTTGGGAGAGATCACTGCTGAGGAAAGCACCTGCCATCACAGCCACAGTAATAAAAAGATTTGTAAAAGCCATTTTACTCCCTGCTTCTAAAACTGTCAGCGGCCTTGCCTCCCTTGCTGTGGTTTGCAGGCTCCTGGAGGCTGCTCCTCCAGCTCCCAGTGCCTGCCCAGACTCTGCTCTTTCTCCCCAGGATGACAGGAATGTGGCAGATCCCTTGTTCATCTGCTGTGTGGTGTTAGATCAGTGGAATCTTCATTTCCAGAGCACTTCCAGCCCCGTTCTGCTTTGAGCAAACCCCTCTCCCAAGGCAGTGGCTGCACAGTGCTGTGACCTTAATTTGGGTAATTGTACAATATCTCTTCTCTCTGCCTCATTTTCTCTGCTCCTTCCATGTTCAGCCATCTAAGGATATCCAATGTTTTGAGTAGTCTGATTTTCAAGAAAGTTAATTAAAGCCCCAGCCTTAATGCTACCTTAATATTTGCTGGTTTAATTTGATTTTTATGTATGTCGTTTTCTCCATCAAAGTGCCAAAATGTGCTGTAATTTAAACACAGTGGTGTCTGATGCTTAGATTACCAAATGACTGCAGCATCTTAGATGCTACAATTTCCCATAACAACGAGAAATGTTTTGGTCCTTGACTCATGCAAACAGTATTTCATAATTAGAAGGCAAGGAATTGCATCTTTTCACCACAAAGGGAGATAGCAAATCTAGGAGCAAAAAAAGTATCCTTTTTGTACAGTCATGGGTTATGTTTTATTTGGAGGTCTCAAAACACTACTCTGAGATTGATGATATGTA